CCCTAGCAACTGAAATCCCCTATCCTGGGCATTTTTGCCACCCTTCCTTTCTGCAGGTCATGGGCCCATTTTGCAGATGAGTCAGGAAACAATGCAGGTAGCTAAGGATGATGTGTCATATTTCTATTAGTCAGGCATGTCCTAACTGGTTAGGCGAGTTTAGATGAGTAAGAGTACGTTTCTGCTAAGTGCAACTGCCTAGACTGAGTCTGATATGAAGTTACTGTCCGAATACTATTTGTAATCCCAACGAAACAATGTACATAGTGACAGTCTCACACTGTTTCGCTTCCACATATCCAACACCCTGCCATTGAGATGTTTTTCCCTTCTAAATAGGAAACATTGTGAATATGCAATAGAGAAATTGGCAGCTTATCACTAGTAACCAAAATCCTTCAGGGCAATGTGATTGATGCTACCCATCCATGTGCTGGATATCATGGGCCCATTGTGATGCACTCATGCACATGACTCCTAAAGGAAGGAAAGAATGGTCCAGCATGCAAGTAAACCACACGGTTTGTTTGCTCCCTTTAATACTATTTTGTTTCAAAACACGAATGAGGTTCAGACTAGTTATCAACACAAGTTCCACTTAAATGTGGGTACAAATATTAAGCCAAGTTCTCACAATCTTCTTTATATGTTCAGTCCAATGAAGTAGAATGAACAATGACTAGGAAATTAAAAGCGAAAACAGCCTTGTTGGGGTGTTCATGTAAACCAGAAGTGCACAACAATGTGGTTGTAAGCTGCATTTCGGACGAGAAAGAATGTACCTTCTCAAATATGTTTATCTTCTTCAAGGCCAGAATTCGATGAACTGGTATGAAAATAGCTCTCTGCACGACACTGCTTGCTCCATTCCCAATGGGACCAAATATGTGCATGTCTTCAGAGGCACATCGGTATGCCTTCTCACCGCTATCTGGCTCTTCTGGTCCGGTGCTTCGCTTATGAAAGCCATGCTCATTGATGTTATACTCACCAAACGATCTACTCAGTAAATTTATCGTTCCACCATCAGACACCTTCACGAAAGGAAGAACTTAAAAAACAAACACTTCCACATCTAAACAAGTTTAAATTCACAAAGATAAAAACAAAGCTGAGGGAATTCTAAATGATAGTTTCCAAAGGGTAAGTGATTCTCTTCAGTTAAGTAATTATGACTAATATCCAATCTTATGACTACGTATAATATTGTACATCCTATCACTTCATGTGTCAGGATGGATCGGTCAAGTAGGTCCATGCAGCGAAATTGCTACCCCAAAGGTACAGAAGCATTGAGCATGTACATTCAGTTGCTGGCAGGATGGTTTTCATGACTGGAAAACAAAAGTGAAACAACTGGTACCAATTCCATTAACAGACAACAACCCCAGGCTAATGCTGCCGGTGTACAACCTAATTTGGTTTGCATGCAGAGAAGAAAGAATGAGAGGCTGTGTTTTACCACATAGGAATCGCATGTATCCTCCGGGAAGGGAACCCGGGTACTGACGCCGCCCTTGTCCGTGTCGTCGAACAGCAAGGGCTGCAGCTTCTTCTTCAACTCCTCTAGCCCCGACATGGGGACTCGCTGGTGACCACCCGGCGCAAGGGTACGCTCTGGGTGGTTCACAGGGAGGCTGTCAGAGAACCCTACGTACCAAGCAGCGAGGAACCACCGTCTCTTCAGTTGAGCAGAGAAGAAGGCGGCGGACGGTTCGGTTCCCCCGGACGAAAAATTGGAGCTTGGGCGGACCTGGTTACATCCAACAATCGCGAACGGATCAATAGAACATACGCTGGAATTCTCGATTCCAAATCGAACTAGGC